GATTTTGGCCCACTCCTCCACACAGATCTCCTCTAGATCTGTCAGGTTTCGGGGCTGTCACTGAGCAACATGGAGTTTCAGCTCCCTCCAAAGATTTTCTATTGGATTTAGGTCTGCAGACTGGCTAGGCCACTCCAGAACCTTGATATGCTTCTTACGGAGCCACTCGGTTTTCCTGGCTGTGTGCTTCGGGTCATTGTCATGTTGGAAGACCCAGCCACGACCCAACTTCAATGCTCTGACTGAGGGAAGGAGGTTGTTGCTGAAAATCTTACAATACATGGCCCCATTCATCCTCTCCTTAATACAGTGCAGTCGTCCTGTCCCCTTCGCAGAAAAGCACCCCCAAAGCATGATGTTTCCACCCCCATGCTTCACAGTAGGGATGGTGTTCTTGGGATGCAACTCCTCCTTTTTCCTCCAAGCACTGCGGGTGAAGTTTAGACCAAAAAAAGTTCTATTTTGGTCTCATCTGACCACAAGACTTTCACCCATGCCTTCTCTGGATCATCCAGGTGGTCACTGGCAAACTTCAGACGGGCCTGGACATGTGATGACTTGAGCAAGGGAACCTACCGTGCAATGCATGATTTGAAACCATGACAGCGTAGTGTTCTACCGACAGTGACCTTTGAAACTGTGGTCCCAGCTCTCTTCATGTCATTGACCAGCTCCTCCCATGTAGTTCTGGGCTGATTCCTCACCTTTCTTATCATCAGTGATACCCCACGAGGTGAGATCTTGCATGGAGCCCCAGTCCGAGGGAGACTGACAGTCGTCTTTAGCCTCTTCCATTTTCTAACAATTGCTCCAACAGTTAATCTATTTTCACCAAGCCGCTTGGCAATTGCCCCGTAACCCTTTCCAGCCTTGTGGAGGTCCACAATTTTGTCTCTGGTGTCTTTTGACAGCTCTTTGCTCTTGCCCATGGTAGTAGTTGGAGTCTGACTGACTGTGGGGTGGACAGGCGTCTTTAAAGAGCTCAGACAGGTGCTACTAATTTAGATTAATAAGTTGAGTAGAGGTGGACGTAACAGGTCTTTGAGAGCCAGAATTCTTGCTGAGGTGTTCAAATACTTATGTGCAGCAGTGCAATACAAATAAATTCTTTAAAAATCATACAATGTGATTTCCTGAATTTTGGTATTGATGTTAATGCGAGGTTATTTTGTATTACATTAAAGTGTTTTCAAGTGAACCTAATCGTTCCTCGAGAGCCCTATATCCCTCTCACATCATTTTAATACAGGCACATGGAGCTGAATGACAAGGGGAGGACCGGCACCTGATGCTGAATAACAAGGGGAGTGATCAAAGATGATATACCATGGATATTAGTCTCCATCACATTTGATTGTTAGTTATTTTTCAGGATATTTTAGGTTGCCTGAGTTCATTGCTGTATGCTGACCTGCTCCTTGCCTTTAATGCTGCAGAAGTACTTAAACTTATCCTGAAGGATTCTCTCTGGTGGCTGGGGTCCAGCAGTGTTAGTATGAGCAGGTCTTGATGTATTATTCTTGTGGGAGGGGGCTAAGCTGGGAGAAGAAACAGAATATCTGTTACTGAGGAAAGCTAACGAACCCTGTTTGTCATTCCATCCCTTTTATTCCATCTACAGCACCTCCCCATAGGGGAACCTTAATGACCCACCCAGGGAGCCCCACACAGAGGAACACTTGGAATAAACCAAAGTTTCTGAATCATCTACTGATCAAAACACAACAGCAGATCCGAGCAAGTCAGCAGCTAAGGAGTTTTGCGCCATCTGGGGTTTTATACTGTTGCCCTATTCCACACCATTGCGGTAAATATAAAAAATAATCTGTTAAATCAAAGGCGGTACCATATCATGCTACGCAAATATATGCCCAGGGCCACTGGCCTACAGGGAAGTGGGCGACTCTATGCTCTGGTGGGTTGTATTTGTCTTAGACCAGGGCTAATGCAATACATTTCCCATAATGCCTTGCTCCTGCCTTTAACAGTTTGAAATTGCCTTGCTCTCTGAATTGTTTGCACCTGTTTGTTTCATTACTCACCTTATTTATTAAATAAGGTTAAAAATAGAAGAGTTATTGTTCTTCTGCACATGCGGGTCACTGCAGGACTGTGGCCAGTTCACACTGGAATCTGATACTGGCTACATTTTAAAAACTATGTGAAAAGGCAAACAAAAACATCAAATATGAGCAGAAAATCCAAATTGAGCGCCTGGGCATGCTTTGTTAATATTGCCTTCGTTGAGAAAATGTAACATATTTTTATCTCAAGTTCTTTATACTCAAAACATCCATTTGAAGCAACAGCCAGGTATCTTATTTTTGTTACTGAATATTTTTACAGTGTATAAGTTAAAGTTTTGAGGCTTTTTGTCTGTTCTGTTAGGGGAATTCAAATCATATGATGCAATATTTAATTTTAAATTTTAATTTAGAGGTTAATTACTATTAAAATAAGAAAATAACTGGATATGTTTCCATTTTATACTCTGTGCTGAGGCTGGTCAGACAGGACCAGCACGTTCTGTAGGAACAGGAAGTATGTGTAACACGTTTAACACGAGGAAAACAAACATTCAATAAGTAATGTACAAAGTACTGTGTAAGTGAGACTTCCTGTACAAAACAGCTTACAGAGGAACTAGGGATGGCACGGTTCATGAAAAAAAACCGAACCGTTCGGTTCGCTTGTCTCGGTTCGGAGCATGCATGCGTCGCACGGTTCGACGGTTCATGACATGCGCAAT